TTTGGGCGCCCCTGGTCAAGTAACCTTTTCTAAGTGAAAATAAATGAACACGTTGTCTGCAGAGACACACATTTTAATGCACAATCACTGTATATTTACTGCATTTAACACAAAATACAAAAAGGCTTGTGCAGAAATTATGGTTCATTTTATATTTTATGTTTTATTTTTTTCCCCTAGTGCGTTAAACTCAGCAAGCAAATAAACACACTCTTAAAAAGGGAATGGTTCTGTTTAGAACCATGAGCTCTATGGTTGCGTCCATGGAAAAGGTTCTGCTTATCCATTAACCTCTACCAAAAAGCGTTCCTCTATTATAATATCAAGCCTTTAACAGTATCATGAAAGGGTTCTTCAGACTGATGGAGAATGTGCTGAGAATGCTGCATAGCAGCTTTTTGAAAAGGGTTCTGTATACATTCTTTGTAAAAGTGGTTCTATATACTACCAAAAAAGGGTTTTTTGGCTTGTACCAATAGTGGAACCCTTTTTGGCGCCATCTACAACACATTCTCCATCGATCTGAAGAACACTTTCACAATGCAGGGAACCCTCTAATCGTGCAAAGGGTTCTTTGAGTGTTCAAGGTTCTATATAGAATAATTTCCTTTACTGAAGAACCCTTGAAGAACCATCTTTTTTTTTTAAAGCTGTACTACCAAATAGGGTTCTTCTATTGTTGCAATGTCAAGCTTGTAACAATAGCAGAAACCTTTTTGGTGCTATATAGAACCATTTTAAAAAGCTTCTATGTAGAATTATATACAATAGATTTACTGATCTGAAGAACCATTTCACCATGCGTAGTTGTGTTTAAGCATGAAATGGTCCTATATAGAACTCAGGTTCTAAATAGAACCATTCTCTTTACTAAAGAACCTTTGAAGAGACATCTTTTTTTTTAAGAGTGAATGACATAATGTGCAGAAAAATGCCAAACAAACACACCGCACACACTGCACATTCACTATACACTACATAATAAATAAAAATGAATTCCAAATTAATTATATAGCCATGTGGTGAGAATATTACAATTACAGTTGAAGGTGTTGTCCTGGCCTCCAGATTCCCCAGATCTGATCCGATTGAGCATCTGTGGGATGTGCTGGATCAACACGTCAGATCCAGGCAGGGATACTGAGAGATTTTTAAGTGATATTTGCTGTAATTGACTATTTATTTCTGATTATATTACTGATAAAGGACTTTTCCCATGTACAGAGTAACATAGACTAATGAGTAATGAGTAATGAGATTACTTTTCCCCAGTAAGTAATGAGTAATATAATCCCATTACAATTTAAGAGAAGTAATTAGTAACTTGTGATGGACTTTTTTGAGTAAGTACAGAAACTCTGCTGTCTAACGTCCCCAATGTGCTTTTATTTTCTTTCATAAGATAAAGTAACATTTTAATTTCTGCATTAGTAAAGCTTTCACTTTTTGTTTTGATGTGACACCGAGACATGAAAATGATAATATCTTATCAGATTATTATTTTTTAATTCACATGTATAGTCTTTATCTGGCAGTTGCATTTCCACCATAATGCATCACATTTCTGTGGCAAAAGTTTGAAAATTTTATTTGATGTTTGCCGTTTCCATCAATTTCCATCCAATATGTCGAAATATACAAAATAAATAATTAAATAAGTGAATAAACAAACTTGGATCGTAACACAGCTTGTGTTTCTCTGACAGCTGCTCTGGAAGCTTTTCCCCTTTAAGAGCCCAAAAGCCGCTCGTGTCGGCGGAGAAATGAGACAAATCAGATATTGCCTTTTTTTGTTTTTCCAATGCATATGAAATGAGTCGTATGGCAGAGCGAGGGCTGCCGTGATGCTATCTGATGTGCCGAATTATGTCAAAATAAATCAAGTTAGCACAGGCATCTGCTGCAAAGTGCACGCAGCCCATTTTAATAATCAAACATCCAATTGGTCATAAGCGGAAGCCTGAAGGGACAGCTGATTGTTTTGCTGGTTTTGTCTCTGTGGACCACTCTTCTGCACACGGTTTTCTTGTTTTTTTTCTTTACAGCACGCGCACGCACACACACACACACACACACAAACACACTCAGTCTCGCCCACGCACGCCAAACTGACACGGCAATATGTGTCAGAGCGAGATGAAGTGAGCAAGGTGATGGATTCTTCCTTCGCTTTGCCTGTCAAACACTCTGAATGCATTTTAGAGTTCATCTGCACAGTGTGGACCTGACATTCAGCTAAAAAACACCAGGAATAAAAACAAGAATAACACATACAGTGACGATAGATAGATAGATAGATAGATAGATAGATAGATAGATAGATAGATAGATAGATAAAGCAAGTAAGCGATAGAGAGTGATAAAGAAAAAGACGGAGAGAGAAGTGAAAGAGAGAGAGAAAAGGAGAAAGAAAGCAGGCAAGAGAAAGGTGTATGTATATAGATAGACAGAAAGAGAGAGGTAGATAAAACTTCAAGGATGAGGAGAGAAAGAAAATGAAAGAGAAAGACAAAGGAGAGGGAAGAGGAGAATGAGACAAAAGGAGAGAGAGGAGGAGAATGAGACAAAAGGAGAGAGAGGAGGAGAATGAGACAAAAGGAGAGAGAAGAGAAGAATGAGATAAAAGGAGAGAGTAGAGGATAATAAGAAAAAGGAGGACAAGATAAAGAGAGAAGAGGAGAATGAGATAAAAGGAGAGAGACAGGAGAAAGAGATAAAAGGAGAGAAAAGAGGAGAACAAGACAAAAGGAGAGATAAACAGAGAATGATATATGAGAGAGAAGAGGAGAAAGATAAAAGGAGAGAGAAGAGGAGAATGAGATAAAAGGAGAGAGTAGAAGAGAATGAGATAAAAAGAGAAAAGAGAACAAGATAAAAGGCGGAGATAAACAGAATGAGATAGGAGAGTGAAGAGGAGAATGAGAAAAGGGGAGAACAAGATAAAAGGAGAGATGAACAGAGAATGAGACAGGAGAGAAGAGAATGGGATAAAAGGAGAGAGAAGAGGAGAATGAGATAAAAGGAGTGAAAAGAGGAGAAAAAGATAAAAGGAGAGATAAACAGAGAATGAGATAGAAAGATAGAGAAGAGGAGAATGAGATAAAAGGAGAGAAAAGAGGAGAACAAGATAAAAGGAGAGATAAACTGAGAATGAGATAGCAGAGAGGAGGAGAATGAGATAAAAGGAGAGATAAACGAAGAATAAGATAGGAGAGACAAGAGGAGAATGAGATATAAGGAGATAGTAGAAGAGAATGAGATAAAAAGAGATAAACAAAATGAGATAGAAGGAGAGAGAAGAGGAGAATGAGACAAAAGGAGAGAGTAGAAGAGAATGAGATAGAAGGAGAGAAATGGAGAGCAAGCAAACATTCTGAATGTGTTTGAGTTTATCTGTGTTGTGTGTTTCTCACAGTCAGCTTCAAAAAAAACAAAGAAGAGAACAGAAAACTGCACACGCTCACAATCCGCCTTCCATTTCAATGCATATGATTTAGAAATGTTTCCGCTACAGTGCACGCCCTTCAGCAGGTGTGTGTGTGTGTGTGTGTGTGTCTGTGTGTCTGTCTGTGTGTGTGTGTGTGTGTGTGTGTGTGTGTGTGTCTGTCTGTGTGTGTGTGTGTGTGTCTGTCTGTGTGTGTGTGTGTGTGTGTGTGTGTGTGTGTGTGTTGTAAGTAAACGAGTGGTGCTGTCAGAGCGAGAGAGAGAACGACCCGGGACAGTGGAACTGAGATAATGAACACTGCTCTACCAGAGAGAGAGAGAAGATAGATAGAGAGACAGAGAGATAGATAGATAGAGACAGATAGAGATAGATAGACAGATATAGATAGATAGACAGATATAGATAGATAGATCGATACAGATAGAGAGAGAGATATATAGATACAGATAGACATATAGATAAAGAGAGAGAGAGATAGATAGATAGATAGAGAGAGAGAAAGAGATAGAAGTGATAGATAGAGAGAAAGAGATAGATACAGATAGAGAGAGAGAGAGAGAGATAGATAGATAGATAGATAGATAGATAGATAGATAGATAGATAGATAGAGAGAGAGAAAGAGATAGAAGTGATAGATAGAGAGAAAGAGATAGATACAGATAGAGAGAGAGAGATAGATAGATAGATAGATAGATATATAGAGAGAGATAGATAGATAGATACAGATAGAGAGAGAGATAGATAGATACAGATAGAGAGAGAGAGATAGATAGAGAGATGGATAGATAGAGAGAGAGAGAGAGCAATAGATAGATAGACCTACATAGATAGATAGAGAGAGACTGATAGAGATAGATAGATACAGATAGAGAGAGAGATAGATAGAGAGATGGATAGATAGAGAGAGAGAGAGAGCAATAGATAGATAGACCTACATAGATAGATAGAGAGAGATTGATAGAGATAGATAGATACAGATAGACATATAAATATAGATAGATAGATAGATAGATACAGATAGAGAGAGATAGACAGAGATAGAGAGATGAAAGGAAAGTGAAAGGTGACCAGAAAGAAAAGACAGAGGGGGGAAAAGAAGGCAAGAGGAAGAGAGACAAAAAGGGGGGGAATCTAGAGAGGCAGAGAGAGGGTACGATAAAGAAAGAAAGAGGGGAGGGGCGGTACTTCATCAGTGCCTCAGTGTAAGTCTGAGTTTGGATCAGACCCTGAAGCTGAAGCTGAAGCTGTGCTGCCGTAGCTGCTCCAGTTTCTTCTCTCACAGAGTGGAACTCTGCAGTGAGTGAGCAGAGAGTGTCAGACAGCTCAGCACAAACTCACTCAGCTCCACTCCCCGCAGAGCTGAGGAGGGAGTGCTCTGCAGCGTGCGCAGTAGAGCGGGGGGACAGCAGCACTTTTAGGCTGAAAACTTGTTTTTCTCTGCACTGGGAGTGTTTTAACTTCTTTACAGTTGTTGTTCTCTCTCTCTCTCTCTCTCTCTCTCTCTCTCTCTCTCTCTCTCTCTCTCTCTCTCTCTCTCTCTCTCTCTCTCGGCAGGTGAAGATGATAGCCTGGCTCTGAAGGGGAAAGTGACGGTGGAGGACATCTTCAAGAAAGACTTCAGAGTTCATGACCCTGAAGCTAAATGGATCAGCGGTGAGTAGTGTTGTTGTCCAGCAGACGCTTTGCTGAAAGCTGCAATCAGGGATTTGCGCTGAATCGTCTCAAGCACAGAAGGATGAGATGAAAGGACCTCTGGATTGTTTGTGAAAGTCATAGAAGGAGCTCTAACTGCAGGCAAGCAAAGGGAAAACCTGTATTATGAAAAGCTTTCGGTTCTTAAATATGATTGGCTGAGCTTGGCTTTCACTCATTGCTGCCGGACAAAGATGATAACAAACATGAAATAAACAAACGTCGCTCACCGCCGCCCTCTAAAGGCGTCATTAACACACGTCGAATACACAAACGTCGCTCACCGCCGCCCTCTAAAGGCGTCATTAACACACATCAAATAAACAAACGTCGCTCACCGTCGCCCTCTAAAGGCGTCAGTAACAAACATCGAATAAACAAACGTCACTCACCGACGCCCTCTAAAGGCGTCATTAACACACGTCGAATACACAAACGTCGCTCAGCGCCGCCCTCTAATGGCGTTATTAACACACATCAAATAAACAAATGTCACTCGCTGCCGCCCTCTAATGGCGTTATTAACACACATCAAATAAACAAATGTCACTCGCTGCCGCCCTCTAAAGGCGTTATTAACACACATCAAATAAACAAACGCCACTCACCGCCGCCCTCTAAAGGTGTTAAAACATCAAATAAACAAACGTCGCTCACCGTCGCCCTCTAAAGGCGTCATTAACACACATCAAATAAACAAATATTAAAATGAAAAAAAGAATTGAATGTGTGTGTATTAATCTCTCCCTACTTTTTAGGATTTTGGCAGCAGTGAGTTTCTTTGTGTACGTTTGTGTTAGTGTTGCGCATCTCCACATGACTGTGTGCAGTTTTTAGGCCCTGCATTATCTGTTGTTGTAACGATTGGATCTGAAAATACGCTACCTAAAAAATGTTATCTTGAAGGAGGTGCAGATGTACACAGAATGTCTGCTGTAAACGTGAAGGGTTTACAGCTTTGTGATTGTGCCTTTATCCTGGCCGCAGGAGAATCAGATCTTATCCATACATACTGTGCTCAAAAACCTGCATTCATTTTCTGACTCAACAATTCAGCAAGGCAGAGGACTTATATTTCTCACCTCACCTCAAGATTAAAAATGCTAAATTATTAGTGGTACAAATCTCTGACAATCGTTCAGTTCAATATAGTTGTTTAGGAAACCATTAAATGCATCATGTTTCACCACAATTTCATTAATTTAAGTTTGCACAATCATCTACACATTGAACACTTTATTTAAGATCTTATGATAAATTGTAACCATTAGGAACCTGGATTAATCACAGTCTGAGTATCTAAACCTGGATTAATCACAGCCTGAGTATCTAAACATGGATTAATCACAGTCTGAGTGTCTAAATCTGGATTAATCACAGTCTGAGTATCTAAACTTGGATTAATCACAGCCTGAGTATCTAAACCTGGATTAATCACAGTCTGAGTATCTAAACTTGGATTAATCACAGCCTGAGTATCTAAACCTGGATTAATCACAGCCTGAGTATCTAAACTTGGATTAATCACAGTCTGAGTATCTAAGACTGGATTAATCACAGCCTGAGTATCTAAACTTGGATTAATCACAGCCTGAGTATCTAAACCTGGATTAATCACAGCCTGAGTATCTAAACTTGGATTAATCACAGTCTGAGTATCTAAGACTGGATTAATCACAGCCTGAGTGTCTAAACTTGGATTAATCACAGTCTAAATATCTAAACCTGGGTTAACCACAGTCTGAGTATCTAAACCTGGATTAATCACAGTCTGAGTATCTAAACTTGGGTTAATCACAGTCTGAGTGTCTAAACCTGGATTAATCACAGCCTGAGTATATAAACTTGGGTTAATCACAGTCTGAGTGTCTAAACCTGGATTAATCATAGCCTGAGTGTCTAAACCTGGATTATTCACAGCCTCAGTTTTTAAACTGGGATTTCTTATAGTTTTGAGTATTTAAACCTGGATTAATCACAGTCTGGTATTTATACCTGGATTATTCACAGCCTGAGTACCTAATTTTGGATTAATCACAGCCTTATCTATGTACCAAAGTGAGTCATCCAGTTGGTCCTTCATGGCCTAGCAACTGTAACTATGCCTGGGACACCTATAAAACTTTACAATATGCTGTAACCTGTTAGTAAATCTCAGAACTTGCCCAGCTTTTCCAGGAGTTTGGTGGGGAGAGTGAATTGTTACTTATTTCTCAAACCGAAGACAAAAAATATGTGCGAGATTTCAGTGTGTGAAAGACGACATTACCAAACTAGAAAAGAGCCCTTCCAAAAGGAGATCTGTTAAACCAAACACTTTGTTGACACTGAAGCTAGCATCAGCTCTGCTATGGCCAGTGAGTAGCCAGCCAGTGCTAAGTTAGGGAGCTAACAAGGGACCCTGAAATACCAGCGGTTTCGCACGCTGATTAAGAAGCTTGCATTGAGCGATACAGTACTATACACTGTATTCTTACACTCATAAAGGGGTCGTTCTACAGAAACGTCCACTTTTCCATTTCTCCATAGGTGTCATGTGTCACTGGTGTTGCCTATTCTCATTGGTGTTACACATGAGAAAGGTAATACCAGAGCCTTTTTAAATGAAAAATGCATTTTACTAAATGGCTGAAACAGAGCATCAGACCACATGTCAGTCATGGAATATCCACTAAAATATGTAAATTAATCCATTTGTATTCTATTTTTTCACAATTACCTCAGAATAAAGTCGGTCACACCAGTGACTTCAGCTAAAAGCTTCATATGAAATCATGAGCTAAATGAGAAAATCTCTGATAACTGAAAGACTCAGTGGACTCACCATGTGCTTTTCTTCATAGATCCTCAGAAAACAGGTAAAAGGAAGTCGAGTGATGTAATCAGTGTGATTTTTATTTCAAAATAAGAGATTTTTTGTTATGCAGTAACACCAGTGACTCGACTCCTGGGGAACTTTCATTATATATTTTATAATATTTATTTGGCATTTGTTTTCTATGTCATTTAAATCATATATTTCTTAGTCATGTAGAGATTATTGTAGTTAAAATTGCAGAAAAACATGTTTTTTTACCCCAAAATATGGCCTCACCTTTTCAACATGACTGTGAGGACGAGCACTTCTGTGGTGCTCGATTCAAAATAATCGATTTAAAAACTAATATTGCTAAATTGAGGTGTACTCGTTAAAATAACTTACTGTTTTATTTTAAAATATAAATAAATTGTAGCCCTAACATGTTTTTTAAGTGTAATATATCTGTAAACGCTAGGGACACAAAAATGGACGTTTCTGTAGAATGACCCAATTACACATCCAGTGATGATATTCTATGATGAAAGCCAGTCACTGCGGTTCCTCTGGAGATAAATAGACGGTTTAATGAGCATGTGTACGTTAGCATTAGCCGGGCAAGAGGTGAAAGCGGCTGAGGGTGGAGTGGTTTGGATAATGTTTGGATAATGGTGGCAGGACCCTGCCAGTTTGAAGAGGGAGCTAATGGCCTCTTCACTTTACTGGTCAGACCACAACCGCTGTGTGTGTGTATGAGTGTAGCTGAATGTCTGGATGTGTTACTGTCCTTAATTATTAGTCATTATTAAAATGAGCTCACACAGTGTGACTGATGTGAAGCACCACTCTTCCATGTCAACCAATCAAGTCTTTAAAGACAAGAGATGGACAATATGGTTGGTTTTCTTCAGCATAGTAACCTGATACTGATATTTCTCCTTATAAGCACTTTACATAAAAAGGGAAAACCCTGGTGCTTTTTGAGCTGTCAGAGGGTTTAATAAAGGTGATGCTAACTGGTACTGTAGAAATGTGAAATGGTGGTTCTTTAAGGGTTCTTTAGTAAAGAAAATGGTTCTATATAGAACTATGAACACTCAAAGAACATTTTGCATGATTAAAGGGTTCTTTGCATCATGATCGCGTTCTTCAGATTGATGGACAATGTATTCTCTATGGTTCTATATAGAACCTTTTTGAAAAGGGTTCTATATAGCACCAAAAATGGTTCTTCTGTTGTTACAGGCTTGACATCGCAAGAATAAAAGAACCCTTTTTGGTGCTATATAGAACTCTTTTCAAAAAGGTTCTATATAGAACCATCTACAGCACATTTTCCATCAATCTGAAGAACTACTTAGTGTGTAGGTTCAGTTTTTTGATAAAGTCCATTTTTGATCATATCATATTGGTTAATTTTAGTCAGTTTTATTCTAACAGTTATGCTAAGCTGGCAGCTACACCACCATTGCATAGCCTGTCAACCGCTTGTCTTTGCACTAGTTGTTGCTTGAGATTAACAGGCTCCTCCAATAATATTCAGAGACAGGCTTCAACATTTTACTGAAGCTTACTTTACACAGTAAAGAATATTACTTTACTGCCTTAAAATGTCAGTAATTAAGCTGAGCTGGATGTGCTGTAAGTGGTATTTAACCCAGTGTAGGACAATGATCATACACCACCGTTAGCTTGGTGCCTAACACTGAAACCTGCAGGGAGGGAAGGGGGGGGGGCGTGTTTGAGCTACATTGTTTTTTTCTGTTGTTTCTTCAAAAAATTTTCCCCATCAAAGCACTGTAAAATTTAATGGCCAGTACCTGTTTTTTGGAAAAAAAAGGCTAATTCACTTTATTTCACAGATGTGGGTTTATTTTAATGGTTATTACTGTTATTATTATGACAAAAAAGTATATATATTAATAATTAGTTGTACTAGTGCACCTGTTGAATTACAGGAAAAGGCAGTATTTCTAAGAAATTAATTGACTAATTTTATATTTTTCGAGAAAGCACAAACTTTTTTTTTAGTTAATAGGTTTTGCTGAATGCTGCTTAAATGGAAAGGCCAGAAAATGGTGACGGATAGTCACTCGTTGCTTTCCGAACACAGTATTCACCTAAAGGTAGACTAACTGGGAGAGAAAATCTGCACCCATAGATC